TCACCATTTAGCTGCTAGAGCTTAATTAATGAGAATAATTCCTATTTAAACTAGATGCTATTCAGAGCAGATATGGAAAACCAACATAAATAACGCTTAGGGATTTCCTTAAAGGGCGAATCCATCAGAACGGCTGAGGTATAAATCGGTGAGGTTCCCGTAAGTTCACCCATGTGTGTCCCAGACTCTGTGAGATGATCCAGAGCAGCTTTGCATACGTGCCGAAGGGTCGTTTTTCATTCACCTCGACAGTAGCAGAGGCCTCATATACGTTTGGGGAACGTTACGTCTACATATCTAATGCACTCCCACGTTCCCTCAGTTAACCCTTTCACGGCTTTAATACTTCCCATCGCTCTGCTTTCATCATTATACCGGGCAATATGTTTCCCTGCTATACAAACATTGCGAACAGCGTGAAGTTGGCTTGGAAAAACAAAGAGGGTTTTTTTCAGCGCTGCTTCTGAGAGCATATTGGAATGGTATGGATGAAGAGGCCTAGTAAGGTAACCTTTATCCACATGTGGAGCTTCTGGCTTGCACCTTCTGTACCGTTTCTGTACCATTCATAAGGCTTAAACAGCAATGCTTCCCCCTTCCTGACCACCCAAAAACAGCAAATTACAATATTTCTACATAAATTTGCACCCGGTTACAAGCGATACTTTAAATTTCAATGCAAGGGTAGCATCAGCAATGCAAAACATGGTCAAATGGAAAGTCAAAAGGTCAAAAAGCTAGCAGCTAGTTTACTTCACTCCTGGTCTAGCCATAAATCTTACAGAATAGCTGGCTAGGTCTTTTCTGAGCATTTAGATTCAAGCTTTCAGACTTAGGACTGAAAATTTAGTTGCTTGAAACTTACACAAAACTAACTGCCAAAGGAAATGTGAAGCCTCCTGCAATTCACTTGGAACTTTTCTAAAACTGAGCCACAACACTAACCATATCAACTTTGTGAATCAGCTGATCCAAATGCTGATACCATATTCCTAAATACAAAGTTACAAAAGTACCATTCACTGTATGAAATAAAAATACTGAAATACTAAGTTACTACTAAGAGTTAGAGCAACTAGCATCAGAAGGGCAAGGATATCAAGGATATTTTTTGTACACAAAGAAAAACAGGCAGCATTATCTGAGCAGCTTTTGCTATATACGTCTACAAAAATAAATCAGCGAATATCTAGGACAAAGAACTAGATGTTTTCTAGTCTGTAAGTATTTTTACCGACTAGTAGATAAAGGCAGTAGTTTTTAAGCTGCGCATGTGTATTTGGTTGTTTAGCCGAATGGTTAAGTCACTCACTGTAGATGCAGAAGAGCACTTGTTGGTCGTCTAATGCCATATTCCGCCATACTGGCACCGGGCATGTGACTTGTTCTGTCAAACAATGTAGTTATCATGGAAACCCATACTATGATAACGATGAAAATACAATTTATCTTGTACAACATGACCATATCACCTCACAGAATTTCACCTGACACATCCTGGACAAGAAAATCTCTCTTGGATAGACGAGGTTTTCTATTTAGTCAGTCAGCTGAGCCAAAACAACAAACATTTAATGTTTCTTCTGGAATCAATGTACTAATAAGGAGTTCAGTCACTTCTGGGAGGGCTCTATACTAGGGCCCAATCCCATTTTTTATTTTTACCCCTACCCCTGGTTTATAAGCTGAGTTACAAGGGGTAGTGGTTTAAATCTTCCCCAACGAAATGGGACCCTCAAATAAAAAAGAACATTGCTTCATTAACAGACTACTAGCGGTGCTCTGTAGGTGACCCTGCCAGTCTGCAGTGATAGCAGAGGAGGGTAAAATTCAGCTCCTCACTGCTGGGCTTTTAGGGCATCATATGCCTTCAACGGGGTGGGGGGGGTAAAATTATGTATTATAGCCCGCCATCAATTCTTCAGTGATATGAAGCTGAAGTCAGATACTAGACAGATTCTTGTTTGAATCTTTCCATTCCACCTTGAATGGTGCAGCAGTTCTTACGCCAGAGGCACCAGAATGTAACTGCTGCACTACTTAAGGTGGAATGGGAAATTTAGCTAGCTAGCTAGACATTAGCATGCTATTAGCGATTTTTTATGCTTATCATGAAGAAACGGACCAAAATATATTCAAACAGCATTAAACTAAGATAACAGAATGGTTACTGTATTGTATGAAATACTTACACTGGTGGGTTTCTTTGATCTCTTGCTCAGCCATTTTGCCAGCTTTTCTTTTTTTCTCATAACGCGCCGTTTGAAGTGTGACTCTGAAAAACCTCAGTTTGGAGGCCCATGTAGCCTTAACACTTCGACAAAAAAAACAACAAAACTCGGCACACCCTACCCCTGGACGATAGCACGCAAAACGGAGGGCTAAGGGCTAAATGGTAGGGGCGAGGGGTGAAATTAGACGTAGGAACATTGCTGTGAGGATTTGATTGCATTTGGCCTCAAAAGTATTAAGTGAGGTCAGGTACTGATGTTGGATGATTAGTTCTGGATCATCCCAAAGATACTGGATGCAACTCCATCACTCCCGAGTTCCACAGCTCCACGGCCCACAGAAGGTATGGTGACCTGACATGTGTTGCAGAGCATCATGGTCAATGGAGATTTCACAAGCTGTGTGTGCGCAACTGAACACATGTATCAGCAATGAATTTACTCATTAGAAGGCGTATCGGGATACTTTTGTACTTTTAGCGTACGTTTCACGCAGCGTGTTATTGCATGCCGTTGCTTTAAAACATGCAGACTAGAACCTGAGTTGATTCTATATGAGCTGAGTCAGGTGGCTGAACTCAAACGTGGCAGTTGGCACTGTGAACAAAGAACTCGATCCTTTCCAGCGGACCACTTCTTCATAAAGAGGATCACATACAAAAAAAAAGATCGGTAGAAAGAGAAGAAAAAGAGAGTGCCCATAAATACAGAGAGATACAGTGTGTTTTTAGCAGAGAATGATATGTGAAGTAACAGAAACATGCTCTATCCAGCACTCTCTCTTTGAGAAGCGAGCAATGAGGAGCAGTCTATTAAGACTAATGTTTTCTGGGAGGAACACTCATAATTCATGGTTTTAATCTGAACTGCATGCTAGAGGGCTTCTCCTGCCACACACACACACATACGCACAACAGTCCAAGAGAGCATAAGACTCTCTTTAAGAGTAATTACACCCTAAAGACAATTTTGTTTTTCATTATAAGCTGCTTTGCAATAACAAATGACATCAGTTTTGTTAAACTTTTAGCACTTCAAAATAACTGTCAAAATAACCACTATTGTGGTCAGTTACGCCTGTGCAGAGTCCCCTCTGAGTCTATGTCACAATATGCAAATGAGTTAAAGCAATGTTACCGCCCCCTGATGAAAACTCCTTACACTGTGCTGAACAAATCTGAAATATAAGAACCAGACTGCAAGAATACAGCTGCGAGTTAACTGAAGGCCACTTTAGTGCCTCCTATATTAGGTGCAGACCAATCTTTTCTTTAATACAGTCCGTTTTGACAGGTGTGAACACTCCACCCGTACTTGGGTCCGCACTAAACAACTGAACCATGGTCCAGCAAGAATTGCAGGTCTCTGGCTACGTTCACATTACCAGGCTGAAGTGGCACAAATCCAGTTTTTTCATTACTGTGACACAGATCTGTTTTTTTCAGAGCTGTGTGAACACAAAAACCTGATCTTTTCAAATCAGATCTGAGCCACTTTCATGTGTATTCCTACATCAGACATATATCTGATTTGTGGCCATGTGACCTTAATGAAAACGCTTAGATTGGAAGTTTTTTCCATTGCGTATCCGGCATCATTCAGCATAAACGTGACAGCAACACCAAATCTGAAGTCAGTGCAAGTAAAGAGTGCAAAAGCGAAGCAACTGACCCTCTTCCGCCTTCATCTTGCTCTAATGAGCAGCTGAGAGCAGATCAGAGCAAATTATCTTTGCGACGATGGCTTGTTCTGCAGGTTTGTTTGTTCATGAAGCACATGGCCCAGTCAGGTGATGTTATTGATTAGGATGCGCGCATGTGGGTCATTTCAGAACACAGATTGGTGCATATTAATGAACAAAAATGTGAATTATAAAGCTAGAAAGATCAGATCTGAGCAAAAAATCAGAATTGAGCAATGAGGTTTGTAACAGGAACGTAACCTTTGTCTCCTTCCAAGTGAACCCTGGTATAGTTCGCTGCTGGTGGGAAGGCATTTTATGATTTTTTTATAAATTCAATTTAACAACTTAATTAAATCTCGATTGTAGATTTATTTCTATCTGTAATACATATAGACATGAGCTCTCTCGTTAACCCCTTACATGCCCAGGGCCTGCTTTAATATGTAATAAGCTTGGGATTTTAAGGGGTTTAATTCAGGTTAAGTGTGGGTGCGTACTGTGCACTGTGCCTGCATGCATATGTACATCTGGCCTGTAGTTTTTAAAACAGTGGCAGATGTTGCAGATTGTTTCCCTACCAAAAACATCAGGACCTCTTGTTTGAAGATCCTTTAGAAAGCCTTGAGCCACACAAACCATTCGAATACAAGGCTTTATATCAGTGTTCTAAACTGCAATGTGGGTTCTCGTGTGTGCATGTCTGTATATGCATATGTGTGCACAATATGCTGGGAATACAGTCCACCCATCAGCTGTAAAAAGGAATAAACACATGACACACACCCATACACAGATGCTCTATTAGTGGTCCAAAAGTTGTTTTTGAAGCGAGAGCCAACAGACTGCGGTGCAAGACATGTGTCTATGCAGGCATGTGTGTGTGAAACAGAGAACGAAGCCAGATCAAATGGTATTGGAATGTTTTGCCACTGTTATGGGAATGCTAATGAAGGAGGCACTGCAGTTTTCCCCCACAATACACTCACAGTGCAGTTACAGACATTACATACACAGAGGAATTTACTATGAAATAGATCTACATAATATGACTCCAAGGCAGTACAACATTGTGTTTGTGTGTGTACCTGGGGTCTCGGGGGCTATTGGGGCGGCTGGTTGAACGCAACCTATTCTCACCGCCCCCTGCTGGACGCTCCGAAACAATGAATGGACTCCCTTTATCTTTCCTGAAAGAAACAGAGCAAAAGAGAGATGGAGGAAGATTAGGTGAGACAGCAATATAGAGAATAAGACAGAGATAGAGCAGCATTATGTGGACAGTACGCAAAAAGATAGAAAGGTTTGGTTAAGAATTTAATCTGTTACTGAAAATGATTCTACTGTTATTAATGTTATATGTCATTTCTGATTATTCCTGTTTTTTTTATTGTATGGGGCCACTGTCATCAACATATACACTGACTGGCCACTTCATAAAGTACACCTCCCTGTATTTACACTCTGTTCTTCAAAGGTCAGGACCCCCACAGCACCGCCACAGAGCGGGTATTATTTGGGTGATGGATCATTCTCAGCACTGCAGTGACACTGCCATGGCGGTGGTGTGTTAGTGTGTGTTGCGCTGGTACAGACACACAGTGGATCAGACACAGCAGTGCTGCCGGAGTTTTTAAACACCGTGTCCACTCACTGTCCACTCTACTAGATACATCTACTTTGTTGGTCCACCTTGTAGATGTGAAGTCAGAGACAATAGCTGTTGCTGCACGTTTTGTGTTAGTCATCCACTATTCCTTCATCAGTGGTCACAGGATGCTGCCCACAGGATAGTATATATGTATATATATATATATATATATATATATATATGATTTGTGGACACCTGACCATCACACATTGCTGAACATCTCATTACAAAACAATGGGCATTAATATGAAGTTGCCCCCCTTTGAAGCTATGACAGTTTCCACTCTTTTAGTAAGGCTTTCCACAAGATTCTGGAGTGTGTCTGTGACAATTTGTGCCCATTCAGTCATTTGTGAGGTCAGGCACCAACACTGAACGAGAATGCCTGGCCTGTAATCGGCATTCCAGTTTAACCCAAAAGTGTCCAGTGGGGATGAGTTCACTGGAGTTCCTCCACAACAAACTCATCAAACCATGTCTTTATGGACCTGACTTTGTGCACAGGAGCTCAGATATGCTGGAACAGGAAAATGTCTTTCCCAAACTGCTGCCACAAGTTGGAAGCATGTAATGATCTAGAATGTCTTTGTATGCTGTAGCATTAGCATCACCCTTCCCTGGAATTAAAAGGCCCAAACCACGAAAAAAAGCGGTCTTAAGCTTATGTGTAGCTGCTAGGCCACAGAAACCTATTTGATGAAGCTTCCGACACACAGTACTTGTGCTGATGTTGCTTCCAGAGGGGGTTTGGAAGTCTGTAGTGAGTGATACAACAGAGGTTTTACCCACTACACGCTTTAGCACTCAACGGGTCCACTCCGTGACTGGTGTAGCACTGCACGGCTGTACTGTTGTTGCTTCCATTTCATAATAATAGCACTTACGGTTGAAGGGCAGATCTAGCAGGGCAGACATTTCATAATAAAAATGATATACTAAGGAGTATATTAGGATTCAACCCGTATCTTAACCTACAAGGTCGCTAACCTTTAACCCTTACCTCAGCTCATCGGGTGAGGGCTCTTGAGCGATCCCATTGGTCTGGGCAGGGCTGTGGGCGGGGCTGTTTTCAGGGCTGAGCTCTTCCTTTGCTCCATTTTGAGCAGGAAGCTCCAGACAGGTCTTGGATCCTTCCCACTGCTGTGCTGCGTTACGGATTGCCAAGCGACGCTTCTCCTGCATAAACAAGTGATGAGACAGGAGACAATACAGGAGATAATATCATATAAGTAGCATATAAAGCACAATCAGAGCTGGATCAGTTGAACCACTGAAGCCTGTGCCACATAATTTGTAAGGGATTTGATTGGCTGATTCATACTGGATAAATGATCCTGCGTAATTTCCCCAAATTCCCACAGACTACGAATGCCATGTCAGCTGAAGGGCACACTCAATAACAATAACAGCACACTGTATGGCTGCGTCCGTTAGGGGGCTTTCTTATTTCGTTAGCGTAAGATGAACTGGACATAACTTCAGCTGTTTCTTAGACTGTAAAACAGGTTTCAAGCTATTTTTTCTGGTACATTCTGTCATTTTGAGACAGAATCAACAGTGTGCTTGTCTGATAGCACTTGAGAAGCTGGTGAGAACACACACTGGACCATATGTGACAAAAAAGAGGAGAGGGACACTGGAAAATTTCAGTAAAGACTGCAACAGGGGTCACTCTTTGAGATCACAAAAAGGACAGTTTTACCTGTAACTTATCTCATATCTAAAGTGTTTGTATGATACTAATATTGAGCGCTATATTAAGCATCCAGCAAAGTTTGAATGAAGAAATATAAAAAACAGACCTATCTGAGAACTGTCTGGGTGTGGTCCTAATATTGATGAGCACTCATGATTGACATGCATACAAATGAGCTAGCTTGATAGCTCTGTTATGCTTGCTAGCTTAGCCTTCGCTTGGTTGTTAGCTTTCTCTTCGTTTCTCAGGCCTGAACATGGAGGAGACAGTAGTGTTTTTGTTTTGTTAAGGCTGTGTGGGCAGGACAATCCCCATCAGCCTAGTGGTTGGTGAACATTCTGCTTATACTATATTCATGACCCACAATCAGGACTGACCAGTTTACACAAAAACAGGAGAATTTTTGGAAAAATACATTAATCATTTAAAGGACACTGGAAAATTATTCACAGGAGACACTTTGTATATGTATACTGTGTTCCTACAGGATCAAGATTAACCTGATGACAAAGGAAATGGTGACTTAGGCTCCCTGGGCCTTTCATTATAACCCACAACCATAACAACCAATGTGAGTACACTGGATCTCCAGCAGCAGACCCCACCTAGAAACCCAAAGAGGAATGTAGCTTCTTTTCACCCCTTATTAAGTTTCCACTAGCTCAGGTATGGAATGTGCCACTCCCTCTGAGTGTGTGCATGTAACAAGGCCCTGGAGTTTTATCAATTTTATCATCCTCTCGGTGGGGATTAGCTGGTTTAGATTACAGAGAAACCATCAACTACCCCTTTCCGTTTCTCTGCAACTTCCACTCTGTTTCTCTCAAGATTCCCCCATGGGCACAGTCACAGATAAAAACAAATAAATCACGAAACTGGAACATATACATGTTTCACAAATGCAAGACTTGGCAAGGACTGTTATTCTGTTAAAGCAACATAAATTAATGTAGCAGTACAAGCTAAAAAGGAAAAAAAAACTTTTCTACATGCTTTTGAATAGCTGCATTTATCACTTGTTTAAATGCTTGCCTTGCTCTAATAAGGCCCATATTGTACACAATTTCAATGATCAAATACTTCCTAACTAGGACCACTTATTCTTGCATTACTGTATCTGTAAGATGTGCTGTTTCCAAGGTGGATTAATTCTTAAGGCTTTTTATGTAACACTGTCTGGGTCAACTCTGAAAACAGCAATTATGCTGTCACATAAGGGAGTATTATTTTCAGATATTAATAAGCTCGACTCTAGGCAACTGTAAAACTATAGCAACAGCTGGTGCTGAATGATTTGGGGAAAATATCTAATTGCAGTTTTTCAGATCAATATTGTGGCTGTGATTAAAATTGTGGTTATATTCTATCAATTAAGGTCCAGTGGCCGGTTGCAGCAGTTGTGCATGAGCTCAAATGTAGGCTAGTTGTAACGTACGTGTAAGTTCAGATTTACGTATTATTAAATCAAAATGGGTTGCACCACAAAAATCAGTTCGTATGTAGGGGTTAGCAGATACTAAATATTTACACCTCCCCATGAGCTGGTGTAGGTTGTGACGAAACCCATGGCAACCAAAATGTGGCTCATTTGGGGCCCTTCGAGCAGGGTGACGGGAATAACTTTCGCCGTCAGGTGTTAAGAGACAGGCTACATTGTAGATAATTATGAAGATGTGGATATCTATGCCTGATTTCGGTTCAGCCAAGAAATTCTGCTAATAACTGATTTACTTTCTACAGACTTGGAGCACCAGTCAGCGGGAAGCAGAGCTCTGCACCCAGCAGTGTATTGCATTATGTTATTTTGCCACTGAGTGAGTGCACAATGTTGTAGGGGACGCAATTCAGGTACATAAAAGCACTGTTTCCCAGGCCATTTGCAAGGTTTCACTTTCTTTATGTAAGCACATTGGTGACTTCGTCCAAATGCCAATAGGAGCGAGGCAACATAACGTCAGGCGGAAGTTTTATGAAGTAGCTGGGTTTCCAGATGTAGTAGGATGTATCAGTGGCACCCACTTCAAGATAAAAGCCCCCAGCACCTACGAGAATGCTTTTTGTGAACAGGAAAGGGTATCGTTCGATCAATGCACATGAGCTAAAATTTACCAATCTGCTGTTGTGTCGGTTAGCCAGAAACAGTCGTTCAAAAAGCTGCGTATTTTGGTTTTCTCAGGGAAATACTAAAGAATAAACAGACAGTGTCTATAAATAATTAGTTTCATTCCGTTTGTACACATCGTTCTCTTCAAGGCTGAAATTTTTTTTTCATTGAAAAGTCAGCGCAAACGTCCCTTTGTGTTTCCATTGCAGCGGATTTACTGATTGGTCCTGAACGTGTTATCATTATGTTAAAGCTACGTAAGAGTTGTTACTAGTTAAGACACGACTTATGGATTTGTGGTGCAATCAAATTTAATAAAAGGATAGTTTGAAACTAACTAGTGTAACTAAAGACTCCCAATCTTAAGCATAAACGTAAGCAAACCTGGTGCAACCCAGTCCTGAACAGGTTTGTTTTGCCAATAGACCAGCACATCATCTTTTTCTTGGCTTACAGCTTGACCTCTGAACATAGCACTACAGACTGCAAATTCAATGTCATGGACGCATCATCAGAGTGTTTGATTGCTTCTGACTGGTCAGTCCTGGCAAAAGCTAAAGGGTTAGTTTATCCCTAGAGCTATCATGCATGTGTGGATCTGGCTGAATACAGAGAAAAAGATGAAAAATAGTGGCCAGGAAAGCTTGGAAAGTCCTATAATCCTATAATCCTATAGGAGAGGCATATGATTACTGTCCTTAATGATTAACAGCACAGAAACCTGCAGAAACCTCCTCACTCCATTATGATCAGCTGATCATCGTCCATCCTGTTATCCAATCTAATGGCCTTTATTAAATGTAAAAATGTAATTCATCGTAAGCTGTCACAGCAAACGTTTTTAAACCTGGCAACAGCTGTTGTCATAATTTGACAGTTTCAAGGTACTACACTCTTAAAAAGACAATTCTATATAGAACCATGAACACTCAAAGAACCATTTGCATGATAAAAGCGTTCTTTCCGTCATGAAAGTGTTCTTCAGATTGATAAAGAAAGTGCATAAATGTGCTGCAGATGGTTCTATATAGATGTCTTCTGCTGTTACAAGTTTGACATCATAACAACCAACTATAGCACATTCTCCATCAATCTGAAGAACACTTTCATGATGGAAAGAACCGTTTTATCATGCAAAAGATTCTTTGAGTGTTCATGGTTCTATATAGAATCATTTTCTTTACTAAACAACCCTTGAAGGAATCTTTTAGGTGTGTATCAACAGATTAAAATGGCCAAAATTTGTTTTTTATGATTTTATTTTTCTTTGTATTCAGTTTAAGTCATTTATACTTATGTTTTGATTTTTTTGGGGGGTTGGTGTGGGTAAATGAAAGAAAGGCAATAGAGGAGTATATAAAAATGGTATTTGATGACAAATTGTATATGATGATCAGTAAAATCTTGTTCTATTCTATTCTATTGATGTTTAATTCCTGCATTAAGAAAAAAAACACCAGTCCTGAGGAGCTCTCTAAAGAGCAGAGTCACTGCTGGTGGACTTTATACTGCAGTGTTGGCAGAGCAGCAGGTTTAGTGTATTCAGAGAGATGGTGCGAAGCCAGGCCAAGGCTGAAAAATTAGAGAATAAACACGCCGCAGGACTTTGGCATGCGATCAAACTGTAAACAAAAGTGTCCCTTACTGAAAACAAAGGAACTGGAGGGGAAGAGGAGATCAGTGTGTACCTTATGAGCGGCCTGCTTGTGGCTCTCACGTTTCTTCTCATCCTCCTTTCGCGCTAAAAGACTCGCCGCGCGTCTCTCCTCCTCCTGCAGAACATCAGAATCATCAACACTCCACTTTCAGGTCAGCACAGCAGGACCAGGCCAGGTTTTACCCTGGAGCTGGCACAATTGGACACATCTTTCATCCAAAAATATCCAGCCAAGACCTGTTTGATGTCTGAAGCATCTGAGCTTCTTTCGTTTTGCACTGGAGCTACAGGGCTGATAGTGGCAGTGCAAAAAGCAGTTTTTTTAATGTTGAGTCACCTGCTGTTTTCATTTTTAATTTTATTAAGATTTTTCTTATTCTCTCTTTATTCTTTCCAGATTTTTATATTTCATATTTTTTGCTTTTATACTTGTTCTTTAAATGTGTATGCTTTTCATTCATTCATTCATTTATACACCAATCAGGCATAATATTATGACCACCTCCTTGTTTCTACGCTCATTGTCCATTTTATCAGCTCCACTTACTATATAGGTGCACTTTGTAGTTCTACAGTTACAGACTGTAGTCCATCTGTTTCTCTGATACTTTGTTAGCCCCCTTTTACCCTGTTCTTCAGTGGTCAGGACCCCCATGGACCCTGACAGAGCAGACACTATTTGGGTGGTGGCTTATTCTCAGCATTGCAGTAACATTGATGTGGTGGTGGTGTGTTAGTGTGTTGCGCTGGTCTGAGTGGATCAAACACCTCAGTGTCACTGCTGGACTGAGAATAGTCCACCAACCAAAAATATCCAGCCAACAGCGTCCTGTGGGCAGCGTCCTGTGACCACTGGTGAAGGACTAGAGGATGACCAACACAAACTGTGCAGCAGCAGATGAGCTATCATCTCTGACTTTACATCTACAAGGTGGACTGACAAGGTAGAAGTGTCTAATAGAGTGGACAGTGAGTGGACACAGTGTTTAAAAACTCCAGCAGCACTGCTGTGTCTGATCCACTCAGACCAGCGCAACACACACTAACACACCACCACCACGTCAGTGTCACTGCAGTGCTGAGAATGATCCACCACCCAAATAGTACCTGCTCTGTGAGGGTCCATGGGGGTCCTGACCACTGAAGAACAGGGTAAAAGGGGGCTAACAAAGTATCAGAGAAACAGATGGACTACAGTCTGTAACTGTAGAACTACAAAGTGCACCTATATAGTAAGTGGAGCTGATAAAATGGACAATAAGCATAGAAACAAGGAGGCGGTCATAATGTTATGCCTGATTGGTATATAAATATGTTTTAAATGAGTCATAATTGTATATAAAAAAGTTAGTATACTACATGATTCCACACCTATTATATTTAATTTTTTATATAATAATATATTTAATTTTTACCCAACTTTTCTCTCCAATTAGGACATGTCCCATTCCCACTCACTCATGTTCAATTATTATACAATGCTACCAAGCTGGGAATCTGAAGACTAACACGTGCTTCCCCTCAGATACATGACGTGTCAATGCATTTTTTCAAACTACTGTTAACACATCATCACCGGACAGCTCAACACGCTTGGAGGAGAACACTAACTGTCAATTCTGTGACATCAGCTAAAAGACGCTTGCAGTGACTATCGTTGCACTGAGTGACAAGCGAGAGGAAGGACCACCCTACCTACCTAGCTAGACATAGTGAGGACAATTATGCTCTCTCGAACTTCTTTTGCATAGACAGTTGGGCCACTTGTGAGCCCCACAGTGTTGCCACCCATGCAGGGTTTCCCTGGACTGTTGAGGATTTTTCGTTGCCTATCTAGGAAAAAAAAAATTCCATTCCTGGAAGGAAAATGTTCAGGAATCCAAGCATTTCTATTCATTAGTATTTCTTATAAAGTTTAAACTGCTTCTTTTTATCTAGTCAATCCATCCATGTACAAAGAACGGGTCTCAATAGCCCAGATTACCCTTAACATAGGGACAACTGTTTGGGAAAGGTGCACTGCTGGCACTAGGCAGCACTTCAACGTGATAACTGAGGAGATATGGTTCTGAAGCCGAAGAGACATCTATCTGTTATAGACTTCATCATGAGCGCAGCTACTCTTGCTGAATTTGGTAAAAATCAAGCCACTGATCAAGTGTACAGGAATTTTATAGGACTGAGGTGGCAATTCTAGAGCTCCATTATTATTAATAAGTAAAAGGAAGCCTAAACTTCAATTTGATGTGGTTTTCTACATTGTATGACATACTGTTATCTACAAAATGGACAAAGCAAGAAGAGCCTGGGTTCAATTCCCCGGCCAGGTAACCAGCGTCCTTTCTGTGTAGAGATTGCATGTTTTCCCCATGTCTGCATGGTTTTCCTCCCACAGTCCAAAGACATGCAGTCAAGCAAATAAGAGATGCTAAATTGGCCTTAGGTGTGAATGTCTATGTCTGTGTGTTCTCCCTTGTGATGGACTGGTGACCTGTCTAGGGTGTTTCCCTGCCTTCTGTCCAATGAGCGCTGGGATAAGCTCCAGCACCCCCCATGACCCAGGAGGATAAGCGGCTTAGAAAATGTGTGTGTGTGTGTGTGTGTGTGTGTGTTAGATATTTTAGATTACTTAACAGTGCAAAGCAGTTTGAGGAGAGATGATATGCCATGATGTTAATTGGTGCACAGTTATTTTTGCAGTACCTGTACCTGTAGCTACATCAGCCTCCTAGATCTAGTAGCTTGGGGAGCATGGATGTCACGAAGTACCATTATGTGCTGTGTGGGTATGTGTTGAATTAATAAGGAAAATAGCAAAACATACAGGATTTTAGGTTTGAGCAAGTGCGTAAGTGAGAGACAGATCACGTCTTTATGCGTGTGGTGGTGTGAGTTTCCTGACATTATCAGAGAGGATTACCCAAACAATTTGTAGGCCAGATGTTGTGTCTTTTGGCAAGCTGCTGTGTTTTGGCCTTAAATGACAGGAATGAAGCCTGTTTTAGGGTTGCAAGCTAAAGTTATTGCCTCTGAGAGACCAACACCAGACCGATATCGTGGGGCAAGTTATAAGTATTGTGATAAATTATGTTACAATGTGCTTTTCTAAGTGTATCATGAGTATCAACAATACTTCCAGAAAGGGCTGGGAGATGATTAAAAAAAACTCAGTTTTAGCCATCTGTGAATCGGGAATTTGAAAGCTTTGGACTGTCCAGACAGCACATCCTTCCACGACATACACATCAATAGACTGGCTGAGTTTTACTTTGGACAATTTAGAAAAACACAAAGTGGTTTACAATCGATATGTTAGTATATCTATGGCATAAACAAAAGCCTCACTCAGGCAGAAGCATCCACGCGTGCTGAAAGGGCAGATTTTGGTGCTTTTCTTGAGCAGTGTGTCACTAGAATCATCTAGAAAATACACTACGGTGATGTTTCTGACTTGCAAAACCTGAAAAAACAGGAACTTCACAGAAAAAATGAGCTTTCTCAGTCATAATCATAATGCAACTGCTTTTTCAGTAATAATATGGGAACACAGGGAGAATTTGTGGGAACTGTACTGGGTCTTGTGCGGGTAAACTGCAAAGTAAATTTCAAATTCAGCTTAGTTAGAGTTAAATTCCATCATAAAGGTGCATGTTTTTTTCCTTTGGTAATTTTCCCAATTTTTTCATGTCCACTTCCACCCACTAGCTAGGTCTCCCCCAGTCACATGACACTACAGCACGAGGAGGGTGAAAGCTTCCCCCGAAGCCATGTGAAGCCCGTCACCGCAACTGGTTTGAACTGTCACTTACATCACAGGACAGCTGAACACGACTGGAGGAGAGCGCTAACTGCTAATTCTGTTAGCTCGCTGAGCAACGGGGGAGAGGGAGGACCATGCTACCTATCCAAAGAGAGCAAGGCCAATTGTGCTCTGTTGCACTCCTGGCCACGGAGACCAAACTCGTGATCATAAAAGTGCATGTGTGAAAAGGGGCTTATGTCCTTATTTTTGGAATTGACTCCATCAATTCCAGTCACTTGGAATAAGAATCTGAGTCAACGTCAAAATTTCTGGACTACTTCTGGTCCTACTTCCAGAACTGAAACTGCCTGGATCATTAAAGGGACAGATTTAAAGCCTATAAACAACAACGAACTGTTAATATCAACTGCATAAACTGCATAATAACAGGTAGCGGACTTGCGGTCATCTCATTATGTCATTGTCTTATTTAATTCATTTACTTTTTACCAACTATTTTCCCTCCTGTTTACTCTAAAACAAGTTTGCAAACATTGAATAAAAAAAATCAGTTTTTTTTTCGGTGGTACTACTGTATAACTGATGTATTTTGTCCATTCCAACATGTCTGAAAACCTTATGTACCATCAAAATGATAAGTATTGCAATGTTATATTTCTGCATTATCGCCCACACCAGACTCGCCTCTCACGACCTCATTAAAACACATAAACTGTGTCTCTGAATCTTCCTTCACGCTGTCACAACACTGTTGATATTAGATGATTTAATGTAAAACTAAAATCTTACTCTAATCAGAACCCTGACATTCTGTTACTTTTGTCATATTATTTTTGTAAGATAAACATGACGAAATGAATATTTGACTGACTGCCTTCATGTTTCTCAATTGTGCAATGAGCCTGATACTGTAACTGGCATAGGGAAGTGGACAGCCTTAGGCCATAGCTACGAAAACATTCCAAATATTATGACCGGCCCAAACAGTGAACGTGTCAAATGTATTAAATGCGTTCTACAGAAATTAGAGCAGGCCTCGGGTAATTGGGAAAAGTGCTAGCCCTGGAGGCAGTGCGATGCTGGATATCAGTTTTAATGAAAGAAAAAAAAAACTGCCCTCCCTGTAGAACAGTCTGTAACTTGCCCTGCACCATGTTGACACAGACAAGCGTGGGTGGGCCACTCTCTATTTACATAGCAGGCCAGGAGCTGGAAGCACCTCATCAACCTGCCCTAGATTCCCCTTTAGGATCAGCTCGGCTTCTTCTGAAGCAGGAGCTGCTACACTACAACCCCCATGCTTACTTAAAGGGCATATTCTACATTTCTCATAGCGTAACAACACTCCTTATCACATCAATGTGATTGGAAGGGCTAAACAGCTTTAGGCAGAATGGGCCGTTCATGGTTGTGACATCACCATGATGAATTAAAAACGGGCTGTTTTTGCAGACTAGGTTTCAGATTACACTGCAAAAAATAGCATCTTGTCAAGTGAAATGATCTTAAATCTAGTCAATATATTTAATATTTCCTATTATGAGATGGTTGTGCTTTTATTATAAGATTATATAGCTTATATGTAGACATTTTTACTTGTTTCCAGTCTTTTTTTTTAAGTAAAATTATCTCACTACACTGGCAGATAATTTAGCTGGTTTCTAGCACATTTCTTAAAACATGCTAAATTATTTTCCAATATAGTGAGATAGATTTACTTAATAAAATTACTCAAAACAAGTAAAAAATGTCTAAAAATAAGGTAAATCATCTTAAAAACTATCTTAACAGGAGAAATATTACATTTATTGACTATATAAGATCATACTACTTAACAAGATACCATTTTTTTGCAGTGTATGGACAGCATGGACTGGGCATGTTTTGAAACTTTAGCAGTGTTTACTCAGTACATCAAATTCCTATTTAAAAACTAGGATGGTTTTGCTTGTCCATGACATGGCCCCTTTAATTCCTTGCAAACTCAACCAAAACACTGTTTTTTTTTCTTAAATCTGTCCTTCCTACTGATACAGCAAAAACACATGCTTTTAAAATGCTTATAGATTAAGAGACCCTGCAATCTAACGCAATTGTGCAGTGAAACCCCACATGCACACTAGTGAACACACACACTAGGGCGCAGTGAGCACACTTGCCCGAAGCAGTGGGTAGCTCTATCCACGGCGCCCGGGGTTAGGTGCCTTGCTCAAGGGCACTTCAGTCATGTGCTGTCAGCTCAGGGGATCGAGCCGGCAACCTTCCGGTCACAAGGCTGGTTCCCTAACCTCCAGCCCACGACTGGCCCCACAACTCACCAGCCGTCATTTGACTTTAAAGCGCCCATACCATGGAAAACCTTTCCCATTTTTATTAAAACAAGAGTTTGATGTAGTATGTAAACATTGTTACAGTTTCAAAACATGCCATTCACTCTCCAGTCCATATATAGAGGTGAAGTTGCAAAAACAGCCTGTTTTGAACCCACTGTTTTTGTGATGTCACAGAAACCCAGTGCATTTCTACATACCTCCACTTATTCAGACTATAGCAGTTCAGCTCCGCCCCTTCAAGCTGTACAGGACAGCCAATCAGAACAGAACTATCATACATCAGTCTTAAAGGCACAGTGACAAAAAACAGCCTGCTTCTACGGGATAAAGAGAGGTCGGAATTTTGTCATGTGAATATATATTGATATACGGAAATAATATATTGTCATGTAGTGTGTGTAGTCACTCGGTTCATTCACTGGACATGGCATACTTATTTTTGTACTGCACATTATATTTTATGGTTGTCTTAGTATATTTTATTATATATCTTTACTTCTTCTAGTTATGCATCTATATAATAGCTTACAACAAATTTTTTGCTCGTTTTGCTCTTTATTGCTGTGCTGCTGTAATAGATGACTTTTAATAAAGTATATCTATCTAAAAATATAAATGACTGTTTTTGGTACATAAAATCACATAAATGTTATAAGTGCAGGTCAGAGAAAAAATAAAATACAAGAAAAATGTAGGATATGAGCCCTTTAAATGACGTTTTTCTGTCAGTATATCAGTGTCACACACTCAAGGCAAACATGACTAAACCCCAATCCGACCGTAAGTCCTCTTTAAAGCTAGCCTAAGCCTCGTCTCAGTGCAGGAGAGTATAAGTGCTGTTCTGAGTTCAGCTCTGCTCCCCTAATGATAATGACTTCAAGCAGAATTCAATTACCTGACGCTAATCAGCGTCTACATCAGCACAGACGGAGACCGGGAACGGCGAGAACTGCTGACGTCTCTTGAAGCAGCCGTTGTGTTTGTGTGCGCCTTTGATGTTTTTGCTGCTTGCTCAGTGAAAGCTAGGTGATGTCTGAGGAAGGGGGATTGGATGAGTTTTGGAAGGACCGCAGGATCGATCGATGTCTTATTATGGAAAACATTCATTTACTTCAACGTGATCCATAATGCTCTATAATGTTCATATGATCCCCACGCCATTCAGAAAGATTGCAGTACTCCAAAAGAAATGCAAGAGGAGAGACAGAATCTACCAAAAAAGAAGAAACTGGTTGGTGCACGGACAAATAGTTGAATGATACAACAGAACACTGAGTCAATTATAGCTGCAGCCCTTGCATAGAAGACACTACGCAAGGGGTGCTGCATGTGTTAAATCCGGTAAAAGATCAAGTGTGCACAGTCTTCCACTTCCTCAGATGTAATTAACCAGCCAACACTGCAAAAAATGGTATCTCAGCAAGTGAAAACAACTTAAATATGGTAAATATATCTAATATTTCTCATGATGAGACTATTGTAAGTATATTATACGATTATTCCACCTGTTTGTAGACATTTTTTGCTTGTTTTAAGTCATTTTATCTAGTGAAAGTGTCTCATTCAATTAGCAGAACATTACTTGTTTTGAGAAATAATGATAATTTTGCTTATTTCAAGAAACAACAGTTTCATAAGATAAAATCACAAAATACGTAAAATATGTGCAATAATAAGTTAAATAATCTTATAATATTCTTACAACAAGAAATATTAGATGTATTTAATAAATTTCTTGCAGTGAAGATGTTTGGTGTCGAAATTTTGCTTCGTTAGTTTAACACTGGAGCTACAAGGCTAATGTTGCTAACAACATTAAAAGAGTCAATAGTCACCCAAAAGTTTTCTGTAATCCCCTAAACTTCTTTCAACTGCTCAAACGATTCCAGGTCTATATTAGGGTCATTAGGACACAGAAATACATACAACCAACTACAAACAATAAAACTTTATTGTGTAGCTCAACACTGCGGTCAGCCAATGTAGACAATGCTGTGCTGAATTCCGCCTCCCTTGTAGAATCCAGCTCCCCTTCACATTCACTTATGCCACTTAGGCATATAGATGTGAAATTCTATGCACAATTTCTGTTGTTTGCACCTTTAAACATGCATCTTCTAGAAAGCCCAAAAGATACAACACCTGTTTTGTTGATTTTTATAGTTCACAGTAAGCTGTACTGTTCTCTGAAGCCACACTGACATATCTGCACAACCTTAATAAAGAGAAGTATTAGGGATGCATTAGCGAAGAAGACTTGGGTGTCTACTGACTTCTAGTGTTTGACAACAGCGTTAGCCTTATAGCTCAAGCTCTAAACTAAAGATGCAAAATCTGGACACCAAACATGTCTTGGCTGATGGACCACATCTGAGGTAAATGGAAAAATGCTACATTTGATTTTTCACCAAACAAACCCTTTAAGGTATAAAAACAAGCACATGCTCAGAATTGGACACAGTCTGCTTCAAAGCCTTCGGATACAATACACACAGACAAAAACACACACACCCCAGACCAAAACAAGCACACACACACACACAGACTGAATTATTATGCGTATAGACAGAACTGGGATCAAAGCTGAGAGAGGTTTCAGGAGTTTAATGTTGTGGGAGATTAAGGCTGTTTAAGTGTGTAAGTGTCAGTGATTACAATTCTGCTGATCTTTAAGATGAAACAGGCACTTTGCCAGCGGCACAGCTGAACTTGGCTACTGTTACCATACAAAAGAAATACTACATAGAAATACTTATACTTATCTTGTGTGTTTAGGAGTTTATCACTTGCTAACACATCAAAAACAGTTCACGCATTGACTCCTCTAGCTGCTCGAAACCTACATGAAACTAAGCTGCACTTCCACTGAAACTGACTTGAAACTGAACTACAACAGCTGCAACATTCTTCATGAAATAATTTCATGAATCAGTTAACCGAAATGGCTACATTGACTACATTGGCTACACATTCACTCCTCTAGTTGCTCGAAACCTACAAGAAACTAAGCTGCACTTCCACTGAAACTCACTTGAAACTCAACTACAACAGTTGCAACATTCTTCATGAAATAAGTTTCATGAATCAGTTAACCAAAATGGCTACACTGACTACACTGGCTACAAACTGATTCCTCTAGTTGCTCGAAACCTACATAAAACTAAGCTGCACTTCCACTGAAACTTACTTGAAACTGAACTACAATAGTTGCAACATTCTTCATGAAGTAAGTTTCATGAATCAGTTAACCAAAACGGCTACGTTGACTACATTGGCTACACACTGATTCTTTTAGCTGCTCGAAACCTACATGAAACTAAGCTACACTTCCACTGAAACTTACTTGAATCTCAACTACAACAGTTGCAACATTCTTCATGAAATAAGATTCATGAATCAGTTAACCGAAACGGCTACACTGACTACACTGGCTACACATTGACTGCTCTAGCTGCTTGAAACCTACATGAAACTAAGCTGCACTTCTATTGAAACTGACTTGAAACTAAATTATAAGTTGCAACATTCTTAATGAAATAAGATTCATGAATCAGTTAACCAAATCGGCAAAAACACATCACAAGCTGCTAACTTGGTAAACTAATGTGTTGTGTGGGACTTTTTTTCGATTGTTTTTCGATTGCTTCATGTAACTGTCAAGTTGCATGGAAATTACATTGCTAGCAACTTACAGCTTGCAACTGGTTGCATGTAAGTTTCACCGTGTAAAGCCAGCCTAAGTTTAAGCACTTAGGAAAAATGCTTAATCTTGCTCTTCTGCGTCTTTGGACAAAGCTCTACTGCTATTAAATAAATGTGTTGAAACAAAAGATCATTCACACATTTAATCTGGGCTCCGAAAGAACATATTAATGCCCAGACTTACTGTGATGCGCTTCATGTCCAGCAGCCGGAGTGGAAGCACACAGCGCAGCGCGGCCTGTTTGTAGCATGACTCCTGAGCTACAGGGTTCCCATCCAGGGTGAGCTCACACAGAGAGCAGGAGAGTCCCAGACAGGCCAGTTCATCAAAACTGCACACACAGAAAATTTTAAAAGCAGGTAAGAAAAGTCATGTTGTATCTAAAACACTACTGGAGCTGGATGAGTTTTACAAGTGGAGGTCATGTAATGTAATCTGTTACTTGATTGGTCAATTGGGGACCACAGGACAAGCTCAATAACAATAACAACACACGGCCATGTCCATTAAGACGTTTTGCTATTCTATTATTAACATCCAGCTGAGAAGAGCTTTCACTCACAATTATTGCAGTCAGACTGTAAAACTACACACACTGCAGATTCATACTGGATTAAAATCACTCCACAATTATTACTGTCAGACTGTAAAACTACACACTGCAGATTCATACTGGATTAAAATCACTCCACAATTATTACTGTCAGACTGTAAAACTACACACACTGCAGATTCATACTGGATTAAAATCACTCCACAATTATTACTGTCAGACTGTAAAACTACACACACTGCAGATTCACACTGGATTAAAATCACTCCACAATTATTACTGTCAGACTGTAAAACTACACACTGCAGATTCATACTGGATTAAAATCACTCCACAATTATTACTGTCAGACTGTAAAACTACACACACTGCAGATTCATACTGGATTAAAATCACTCCACAATTATTACCGTCAGACTGTAAAACTACACACACTGCAGATTCATACTGGATTAAAATCACTCCACAATTATTACTGTAAAACTACACTCACTGCAGATTCATACTGGATTAAAATCACTCCACAATTATTACAGTCAGACTGTAAAACTACACACACTGCAGATTCATACTGGATTAAAATCACTCACAATTATTACCGTCAGACTGTAAAACTACACACACTGCAGATTCATACTGGATTAAAATCACTCCACAATTATTACCGTCAGACTGTAAAACTACACACACTGCAGATTCATACTGGATTAAAATCACTCCACAATTATTACCGTCAGACTGTAAAACTACACACACTGCAGATTCATACTGGATTAAAATCACTCCACAATTATTACCGTCAGACTCTAACTCAAACTCTACTTAAACTTTCTCATAGGTCCTTTCCACACTAGTATACCTCTTAATAATAAATATAGACCACTAGATACAGTAGCCAAGTCCCTCTACCTACACAAAAGGGAGAAGAGAAGAGAAGAGAAGAGAAGAGAAGGGAAGAGAAGAGAAGAGAAGAGAAGAGAAGAGAAGAGAAGAGAAAGTCAGGACCCAACAAATTTTGTGGTGTTGATTTTAAGTGGCTATAAATTCTGATAACAGATCATTTTAACCTATTTATTTTCATATTTATTTGTATTTTAAATATGACACAAATATACAACACAAATATAATCATTTTATTTACTATAGCTTTTACATGTAATGCTAATGATGGTAAAACAGCAGTAAATCTGAAACTGGACTATCTTCAGCCAAAAGTTCCTTTTAAAAGTGTAGCAAAACAACGTCTCAGACATCAAGCAGAATATTCATAATTATTTAATGCATTAGCTTTCTGTGTGGTTTATCAAGCTTTCAGAGACATTAAACGCTAGATAAGTTTCCCTACACTCTTAAAAAGATGGCTCTTAAAGGGTTCCTCAGTAAAGAAATTGGTTCTATATAGAACCATAAACACTCAAATAACCGTTTACATGATTAAAGGTTCCTCAGATTGATGGAGAATGTGCTGTAGATGGTTCTATATTGAACCAAAAAAGGTTCCACTACTGCAAGAAGCCAAAGAACCCTTTTTTGGTTCTATATAGACCACTTTTTGCTAAGAGTGTAGAATAGAGCACTTCACATCAAACCACTCTAAATGACTTTATTCACATCTTACAGACTTTAATAAAATAAAATGGGGGCAGAGCTTCACAGAATTCATTGTGGTTTTGTTTTCTATCATTATTTTCTGCTAATACTGTTATTTTTTATAATTACTGCTCTGCTTTCATAATTTATACCATATTTTTTTATTATCAGTGCTTCTTAGTGATATAATTTGCAGGGCCAGATTATTGGCCAATATTATTGGCCATCTGATATATCGGACGGGCCCTAGAAACAATACAGCACAAGACACAATCGGAGTCATTCTCTTCCTTTCTCCTGACTGTTCATTGTCAAAGGTTTCTGAGAGCTCTTGTCCAGGCCAATCCAGCACTAATGGGCCCTAAATCACAGGCCTGACTCTTCTAACTAGAGAGGGTAAAAGCAAGCCTGCTGGGGCTGACCGCTCACTGCCCCTCACCTCACCCACGCACACCTTTTCCATCCTCTACTGATAAACTGCAGAGTCACGCTTTCTTTCTCTCCTTCTCTTTCAGCTTCATTTCATACATGATGTAAATCCAAAGCTGTAGACGGTGGCAGCATGACACGGCAAAATCCAGGACAAAGGATTTCAGCTGGATTAACAGGACAAACTGTAATGCCCAAAATAAACACAGGCAGACCTACCAGCAGTGGAGAGATTTCCTTAGCAACCACACCATCCTCACTCTGACACCACACCGAAACAACTAACCGCCCTCATTCACTTTACCATGGTTACCGAAACTGCACATAATATAGTGCAATCCTTTACACGTGGGTGGGAGGGAAAAAAAGCTGTCTACCTCAGCACTTTTTTCTGCAGCAATATTGGGGGCCCAAGCAACAATCTCAGACAGGAGGGGGTTAAAATAGCGGCACTTTTCTTTTCTTACCTGCTGATGCTGTTGGAGCTGAGGAAGAGACGCTGGAGACAGGGCAGCCGGTCCACCTCCGTCTACAAACAGACAGACAGAGAGAGAGAGAGAGGGATGAAAAGAGCAAAAAGAGATGCTGCAGCAGTCTCCTCGTGCAGCTGAAAGCTCTTACCATTCAGCCCAGTCACCTTGCAGTGCCGGCACACTGCTCCATCCGGCCAGCACGCGCACACACACAGGCTGCTGCGGCTGCTCAGGGAGGGGCAGTAACAGAGCGCAGGAGGTGAGGGGGAGGAGGAGAAAGAGAGAGAGAGGCAGAGACAGAGAGAGAGAGAGAGAGAGAGAGAGAGAGAGAGAGAGAAAGAAGAGGGGGGAGTAAGGGGGGCTAATGCAGAGACAGCCACTGCAGGGAGATGCTCACACAGCGCATGCACGCACACACTCGCGTCTACACACACACACACACACAGTCAGCGGGAGGTGGCGAATGGCAGAGATGTTCCGGCAGATGACGTTTGCAGCGGAAGAGATTGGAAGTGCTAATGAGGGGGATCTGTTTAACGATTAGCCTGTGTGCGTGCCTAGATGGGTGGGTGGGTGATTGTATCAGAAAACGTGGAGGATAGAATAGTAGAATAGTAGGCCAGACAGAGGGAGACAATGACAGACTGAGAGACAATCCTATGGATAATCATATATATATATATATATATGATTATCCATAGGATTGTCTCTCAGTCTGTCATTGTGTATATATATATATATATATATATATATATATATATATAGCGAGAGAGAGAGAGAGAGAGAGAGAGGGGTGTATTATGATAATACAGCGTGCAGCACTATGTAATATTAATATTAATTTTGTGCTACTTTGTTAGTATTAAGCATTTTTTCATAGCTTTGGAAACAATTATTAATTATTAATGTCATCAAAGCAATTTCAATCTAAACCTGTACCTGAGAAACAATAAGGGAGCGACAAAGACAGGGTGAGAGAGAGAGAGACTGGGAGACAGAGAGAGAGAGAGAGAGAGAGAGAGAGACTGGGAGAGACAGAGAGAGAGAGAGAGAGAGAGAGAGAGAAGCAGGAAGGGGAGAAAAGGATAAAAAGAGAGGGAGGAAGGGAGTTAAGGGGAGAGAGAGAATGAGAGAAAGAGAGAAAGAAGGAGAGAGAGAAGCAGGAAGGAGAGCTAGGAATAAAAAGAGAAGGAGGAAGGGGAGAAAGGGATAAACAGATAAAGAAGGGAGCGAGATAGAAGGAAGTGAGAAACAGGGAGATAGAGAGGGAAGGAGAAAAAGGGAAAGAGAGAAGCTGGAAGGGGGGAAGGAATAAAAAGAGGAAGAGAAAGGGAGCAAAAGAAGGGGGGAGAAAGAAAGTGAGGGAGCGAGAGAGAGAAGCAGGAAGGGGAGAAAGGGAGAAAAACAGAAGGTGGAGATGAGTGAGAGAGAGAGGGGGAGAGAGTGTGAGAGAGAAGAGAGAGAGATAGAGAAGCAGGAAGAGCAGAAAGAGATGAAAAGAGAAGGAGGAAGGGTGTAAGAGTAAGAGAAAGAAAAAGAGGTAGGGGGGAGAGAGAAAAAGAGGAGAGAGACAAAGAGAGAAAGAGAGAGAGCCAGAGAGAGGATGAGGGGATAAAGCTGTGCGCCTGGCAGATGAGGACACAGTCAGTCAGAGGGTCACAGGGGACGCCAGCTCTCTGCAGCCGCTTCTTTATTCCATCTACTCTGATTGTGAGCGCGCGCATCAGGGATCAGGGCTGAGATGCTGTGATCAGAGAGAGTTACGCATCCACTCCCACTCATTACGCATCCACTCCCACTCACGCAATATCTCTGTTCAATGCTGAAAGTCTTGAGTCAGCACTAACTGCCGAGTGTGGCTTCCTGCCCTCAACACCTCTTGCACTGCCAACATTCAGCACCGCGCAAACACGCCGAGGCTTTCACTCCCTGGCGCGCTGCTCACAGGCAACACATACGGACTGACAATAACACCAGTACCACTAACCATTAATGAAGCTTTAGACATACACTCTTACCCGTGACCTCAGTCCCCCTGCTTTACCATCTCCACTGTTTTGTTAGGTCAGTTTCCCTTGTGCTCCTCATATCTTCCTCAGCATTCCTGAACTATTTCGCCTATCAGGAAATGAAATGCTAAACCTGCAATAAAAGTTGCAAATTATTAAATTATTATAAATCTTTTAGGGGGCCAAGGCCCAATCCTATTTCACCCCTTACCCCTACCACTGAGCCCTTAGCCCTCTGCTGTGTGCTTTCTCTTCTAGGGGTAGGGCATCACGATTTTTGTTGAGATAGAGGGGTAGGACGAAGTGTTGGGGCTACATGGCCCTCCAAACTAAGGTTTTGCAGAGAAACACTCCAAACGAAGTTTATGAGGAAAAAAAAAAAAGAATAACAGCAAGATGGCTGCGCAAGAGAACAAAGAAACCCACAAATGTGAGAATTTTCTCTGTTAACAAAATATAATAACCGCTGTATTATCTTAGTTTAATGTCCTTTCAGTGTATTATGGGTTTTTTCTTCATAACAAGAATAAAAACTTGCTAGTAGTATGCCAATGTCTTGGTAGCTAGCTAAATTTCCCGTTCCACCTTAAATGGTGCAGCAGTTACATTCGGGCCATTTAAGGCGGAACAGGGAAATTTGAGTGGGAAGCTGGCAAATAGCTGACTTCAGCTTTATATCATCGAAGAAATAGGAGTGGGCAACAATAAATAATTGCCCCCCCCCCCCTTCGAAGGCAAATAATGGCCTAAATTTAACCAAAGCCCAGCAGTGAGGTTGCTGAAGTTTACCCTCCTCTGCTGTCACTGCTGACTGGCAGGGTCGCCTACAGAGCAGCGCTGGTACGCTGTTAATGAAGTAATGTTGTTTTTATTTGAGGGTTGTTCCATTTTGTAGGGAAGAGTTCAACCACTACCCGCTTGTATCTCAGTTCCAGGGCAAGGTGACACTCGAAAACAAGGGGTAGGGGTAAAGATAAGAAATGGGATTGAGCCCAAGAGTGGTGCTTCTGTCTGTGCAAACAATTAAAGAATGCATCAAAGCATTTAACAGCTGGCATCTGCCTTCTCCAAAAGCTCCAGGATCAGACTGGACGCTCCAAACACACTGTGCTGCTCTGTATTTTGGACGGTGGAGCTCACTGTTGTGTGTCCAGCAGGTAAAGACTGCAGCAAATGTGTGACTGCTCAATCTGCCTGTTTGAATAGGCTGGATTCCAGGTTCTAACCACTCTGCACTGTGTCGCCTGAGTTGCGCCCTGTGTTCGTGCCTTGTTTGACCCCTAGCTGGGCTGCTTTTATTGTGTAACGGGCATGACGACCTCCAGAGCGCCACCCGCTCTCTCTTACATAAATCTGATCTGTCAGAACTGGCACGCAAGGACACAACAGACCGTGCAAAGCTACAGTGGAAAGCAAAGACTCAACGCTGCAATAATACAGTAAAGAAACACAAACCATATATGGGCATGCAAAAGTTTAGGCACCCGTTGTGAAATTACATGCTTTATTGATTTTCTAAGTGAAAATGAGTTAATATATCCTATACAGAGAACACACTACTGCACATTTTAATGCACAATTACTGTTTCTTGGGTGAATTTGATATATTGGGGGTAAAAATAAGAAATGTGACCTGTGTAAAAAGTAGCCTCATTTTATATGTTTGTTTTTTCCAATATGTTAAACTCAGGAAATACTTAGACATTGTGCCCTAAAATAAGCAAAAAAATTTAAATATAAGTGTGCTTACTGTACAGGATGTAATTAAAGTTTTGCGTATGATTGTATGCACCTCATATGTCGAACACAAGTCACAATCCCAGCTGGCCCGTAAAAATATTTAGATTTTCTATTACATACATACATACATATATATATATATATATGTATGTATGTTAATATTAATAAATATATATATATTTCTATTTCACAATGCACTCCACTACAATTCCCAGCATGCACTGCAAGGTATGTGCGCTACAATGTGTGCTCAGATCCCTGCCAAAAAACAATCTATGGGACAGCAGTTACACCACAGTTCTATACAATTCCACCCCAGACATATCACCAAACACACTAGCTTTGCTTCAGCTGCAGTTCAACCAACATAAACACCCAAAATTGAACCCAAGAATGAATGAACGTGCAGTAAAGATGCCAGGAGTCTAGATTAAGCACATAGGTTGGTTTAAAAGAACAATGGCCAGTTTGGGTTAAAGCAAAATGTTATTTAAAAATGAAATAAAATAATGAGCGTCCTCGGGCCCACGGATTTTTCAATTTTCAATTTAGCGGTTGAGTTTGACACCCCTGGTATACACCATGTCTTCCAAAACTAGTGAAGAAGTTACACAAAGTTTGTGAAGTTTGTAATATTGTGGCAAGTTTGGCAATGAGCGGTATAAGGAAAACATGATGCATTGTAGGTTAGTTACTACAGGAATAAATGACGGGTGAATTGCTCTGGGCGTGGAGGGCCAAAGTTCTGCACTGATTTAAATTTTCCTTGCTTTTTTTTAAATAAATGTTTAAACACTGTTAAAAATGTACTATTCACTCCCACATTCATGAAGTTCAAATATGGAAATTAGCAACTTAAATGGCCAGGAACAGCAAGCGGAGCCAAACTTTTATTCTACTATAATGTAAGTATACATCGATCAGGCATAACATTATGACCACCTCCTTGTTTCTACACTCATTGTCCATTTTATCAGCTCCACTTACTATATAGGTGCACTTTGTAGTTCTACAGTTACAGACTGTAGTCCATGTGTTTCTCTGATACTTTGTTAGCCCCCTTTTACCCTGTTCTTCAGTGGTCAGGACCTCCATGGACCCTCACAGAGCAGGTACTATTTGGGTGGTGGATCATTCTCAGCACTGCAGTAACACTGACATGGTGGTGGTGTGTTAGTGTGTGTTGTGCTGGTCTGAGTGGATCAGACACAGCAGTGCTGCTGGAGTTTTTAAACACCTCAGTGTCACTGCTGGACTGAGAATAGTCCACCAACCAAAAATATCCAGCCAACAGCGTCCTGTGGGCA